ACACTCGGAAAGCGGGATGACCAGTTTTTTCACATTGCCTCGATGACCTTTGACAAACGACGTAATAAAATTGAAATGAAAAGGAATATGGAAATTAGGGATTATCGAATGCGCCCCGCGGATCTCGGCGCGAAAGGGTGCACCACGTCGGGTCTCGCGAGGGGGACGCGGAGAAAGAGAGCGAAATAAAAAGCAAGACGGAGAGAGAGAGACGAGAAACGAATAAATGATGATAATATATATATTTTATCTATACGTTCACTAGAGAGTATAATAATGTAATGTATTTTTTTATGCAGAACAAGACTGTTGTTATGAGGACGCGATGGATCACTCGAGACACATTGTAAATGCGCATCGTCGTTTATCTCTGTGACTCGTGGAGAGCCTCTTTCGTCGTATAATGTGTTTCATCATCGTTCGATAGACAGATTAAACGCCACGCTATAGGCACAACATTACTGTATACCTATGTACGTGTTTCTTAATTCTTTCCGATTTCATATTGGACGCCACCGGTGGTGGTTTATCGGTGATAAAGACAACGGAATATTATGATGCAATATTGAATATTTATTATGCAGAAAAACGCGTTCTAGTGCACGGAATATTTTTTTTTCATTTCCCGAGTTTGTTTGTTTGTCACTCGGTTTATTTTTTCTGTTCGAGAGCGTTTCCGGCGAACGGTATACGACTAGTAAATAAAATATTCGACAACAACGACTGCCGCCGAGAAGAACGCGACGAGCAAATTTTAAATAATAATAATAATAATGTTTTTCCCGATCTCGTGTCGTCCGATTCTTTCGTTGTTTCAAAACACTGGGACGAACACAATACTATAATATAACATCGTCGTCGGAACAACAATATCATCATAATGCATCACTTTATGAGGAAAAAAAACGTTAAGCAAGACTCGACGAAAAATATAAATCGAATGCGTATCCGCTGACGCAGGTAAAACCCGGTTACATGCAAATGGACGTGCGACACATACGACCGCATTGTATTAACTCCAGCACGGGTGAAGTCTTCCAGAGACTAGTAAAACAGTAATAAATGTCTTGCAAAATTAAAGTATAATTATGTATAAAATATTTGCTTATAAACTAATAAATATTACAACAATATTGCATAATAGGTACCTACTAATATAATATGAACACTAAAATGAATATTAAATTAAATTGTTAACAAATATAATTGATAACCAACAGAAAGTATTGCAGTTATACAACGATAGTAGAGGTAGTATAAGTAAAAATAATTATGTTAAGGTTTTAAAAATAATTGCACCATAATAAAATGRATAGGTGATTGTGTTTTTTCAATAATAATGATGGCACCTAGGGCCCTGGCTTTTCTTAATCCTAACCTAGTCTGAGCGTAGTGCAAAATGATCGTTTAAACCGTTTTGGAACTAACCTTGTGAAAAGCCGGTAGACATCCGTTCTGAGCAATAACGTTGTACAATAACATGGTAACAATATCGCAGCAGAAAGAGCACGGTGACAGCGTTACAATAATGCATGTCGGTACCGATATCGAACGCCAAAGAGACAAGATTAACGAATAACGACGACGAATTATTGTTTTTAGAGTACGACGAATTATTGTTTTTAGAGTAGAGAAGATTCGAAGTGTTCTCAAGACATATTATTATTGTTATCGAGAGATAAGGCGGATAATTTTCTGCGATCACTTTTAGGAACTTCAGACAAACATATACACACACTCACAGTATTTACGTATGTGTGTGTGTGTGCTGTCGTTATCTTCAGCTAATACTATATTGCGACCGTGACGTTTGTTTAGGAGATAAATAAAATGAAAAAAAAAACGCGACAAAGAATAATAAAGCTGCGCCCTTTTGCCGGTACCTATATACATTTCGTTTCCCGGCACCCACCGCGGCCGTCGCAAGCAATCGATTATTAGAGGCAGAACAAAAAAAAGAAAAAAATCAATAGATGTAGATTATTCTTATACATATAATGACATTATATCGGGTTAAAAATAAAACACATTTTCCATTGAAATTCAATATTGAAGTACCAATAAAAATTTCAAAGTATCGTGATTATTTTTAATCGTTTTCGTAACACTACCGAGAAATCGTCCGATTTGTTTCCTGAAATTATTGCTCAGGCGTAGGGCGATATTTTCATCTTTTAATTATTAATATTGTGAGTTGAATTACCTATCTCGACTAGAATAGAATAATAACGAATTATGTGATAAACCTCAACATCAAAATACCAACTAAGAAGCTGTAACTCAAGCGAAATAATCATATCGAAACCGAACTTTTTTTATGGAAGTGAAAACCATATATAAAGAAGAATTTAAAAATGTACGAACACTTGTGAATCTTCCCATGTAAATTATATATTATGCTATTTTACATACTTACAACCGTACAGGAGATTCGGGAATATATTTAAAAAGGGTAGTTAGCACAAGAGTATGAATTGTCGATGCGCGAGTAAACTATGCGTTTGGCATGTCGATATTAGTAATTATTAATGCCAGAATTGATGCACTGCAACCGAWAACTTTCATTTCCAGGAATATTATTAGATCAAATTGTTTACCGCTCTATACATTTGATATGGTTGAATAAAGGAAGTCTGAGGGAACCAGTTCACGAACGTCCTCGAAAAATGTTGCTGTTAAATCTGCCGTCTTCCTTAAATACGTAATTTAACTATAAAATTATTATTAAACACAAATAGATCGGTCGCTGCGGGCTGGACCGCGGCCGAATAGATTCCGCGCGCTCTGTATATACAGCGGACCACACGATTGCCACACTGTTACCGTTTGTCACTTCCGATGAATAATTATTTGTTTTTATTTTTAAATATTGTATCACACACATGAAAATGCTTTTGATAAATACCCACACGCGTATGCCTGCCTACACGGTACGGGCCGGCGCTGAAGTGGCTCGTCGATATGGTACACAATAATATATCAACTATCGTATTATTGTATAGTCGACACTCGTTGTATATATGTCTATATCAATAATTCTAATATCTAACGTGACAAATAAGTCTTCCTCTCCCACCGTCGTCGCCGCGTAGAGGTATTCGTTAATATTTTAATCAACGTTTTATCTGCTCCTCGGCAGAGACATGTGATCGGCTGCGGCACACCCAGAGAGATGTTTCGTCGACGGCGCGTACTTTCCAAACCCGTATTATTAGACGGCGGCAGATCGATAAAAATATTAATGATGATTCCCATTATTAGATCTCGAAAGGGAGAAAAAAATAATAATAATATCGCACATCTAACGACATATAGAAACAACCTGGATAACAGTCGGAAAAGGATCATTCCAGCTCTCCCGCATACGGCTAATATAATATTATTTTAACTATTTTACACGCCACTAACACACAACAGTAGTTACAGTTATACGGTGTAGCCCGAACGAAATGTTTTTTACCCACACGCTTGGTTATCGGATCGGTACCTGCGTAATTGGATTTGTGAGTACAGAGAAGACTACCAAAGCACCCGCAGCCATGGGAGGTATTTACTTTATGCACGACATTATCGATCGTCAGACGGAAAGTGGTTAGCCGCATTTTTCCGTCGGGGGTGCCGAAAAACCCGGAAAAACTCGCAAAATCTCCGCCGTGAGCTCGGTGAAATGGAAAAAATTTGAAAATGTATTCTGGGCCCCGAGCCGGTGCAGCAACGTCGTCGTGTGCGCTCGTCTCCCCGGACGGCGTGCGCATCCGGTTCTCGCCGGGATCACCGAGCACACGCTATCCAGTTTTCGGAGACGGGCTCGCGCGCGCGCTCCCCCTCRGGTACCGAAAAGGGGTCGAATATTTTCATCGCTATTATTATTTTTATTATTATTACTATTATTTTATTACGATTTTATTGTCATTCAAATCCRCCGCTGTGACCCCGGAAAAGAAATACACGCACGATGGCTACCACCTATAGCCTGTAGGTATTGCAACTACCCACGTCCTAGCTAAACCGTCGGCAGCACAATCGAGAGAGACCCCGAGTCTGCGAGCAACCGTCTCGGTACAGACACAGCAATGGTCGGGTGTACGTGTTATTATAATTACAATATCACAATAAATTGTACAATTATTATGTACACGTACATCTCACGTACTACACGCAGATAACCCGCACACCGCATGGTATATATATTGGTATTATAACTCGACGCTATGCCGCCTGTTCGTCGCCGCCGTTCGTAGATTAGTGTAACACAATATTATGATAGAGCAGGTGTGACATAGCTTTGAAAGCAAATATCGCGTCGACGACGACGTATTGGCAATATTATTATTATTATTTATTGCTCAGACAGTCAGACCGTGTAGAATTTGATATTCAAGTCGGCCGAGGAAATTATATTATTACGTGTTTATAATCAGATAACGATATAAATAGCGTCGTCGGTCGTGTCGTACTCGAAGAGCTCAACGACAATAATAATTATTGTCTTGCAGCGCGGGACGTCACTCAACCGTCGGGGACCGACCGGACGGATCGCGTACGACTCGCGGTTTCCCGAGAAAGTCGGTCAGCTGCAGAGTGCAGATCGGCATTTTATTGAAAGCTGACACACCGCGCTGATAACGACGTGTGCACAGTCGTAAACACCGGAGATAATATTTTAAATCTCGAACCGAAAGAGAGTACGAAAATAGTCGGATCGGTATCATATCATTATCGACGACGACGACCGCGACGTTAATAACTCGGTATCGGATGACGGGAAATAGGAAATATGTATTTTTAAACGCGCCTGCTACCTGCCTGCCTCCGATCACAAATACCATGGTAATAAAATAATATTAATTACGACGACGTCTGAAATAGACCCTCGCGGACAACGATAACGATATTCACATCGCGAAATATTCATGTAAAAGTTTTCAACGATTTCAACGTCCCTGATAATTTAATTTTACCACACATTTTTATATTTAATATTGCGTTTTTGTTCTTACCTGTGATGCGAGTTGGTGGTGGATCTCTCGGATGGCGTCACGTATCCTCATGGACGACGGCGGATGCGAGCGAGACCGTCGTCGATCGTACGTAGCGAACGTGTGTCGTCGTCGAAGAGGTGACTGATATCTTCAGCGCGCGAGACAACTGGTGCGCGTGTGCGTATGTGGTACGTGTGGACGCAGGCGCGATGGTCACGGTCCGTTCGGAGCAAACTCCACTGCGGTCGTCGGACACAGCAGCAGCACTGCGGCGGCGGCGGCGGCCGCGTCGCGGGACAGGTTGCACGCGGGGCACCGGGTACAGAGCCGCCGCCGACCAATCCGGACGCGCCCACAGCTCGCCGAGTCCTCCCCTCCGCGCCAATCTTCGCGCCGATCTCTCGATTGATTTGCGTCGGTTACGTGACCGCCGCGCCGCTCAGCGCGCGCGTACCCGGTTCCCCACCACCCACTCAGACCACCCGCCCGCCCCTATGATCATCMTCAGTAATGCGGCGGGGAGGGTTGAGCGGCGACGATGGTCGCGATTGCGGGATGAGGGAGGGGGCGACCGTCGTACAGAGTCGGTTGTGTGTTGTATTTTCTCTCCTCTCGTCGCTGTCGACCCGTCGTTTTATTTATTTATTATTATTATTTTTTAAAACTTTTTTACCTCGCTGCGGATGTCGCGCTCGGCGTATTTGTGTGCCACCGCCACCGTCCGATATCGATTTGGAAAAGAAACGCGCGCGCGCGCATCACACACTCGCGCCTGCAACTATATATTATATTGTATATATTTATATACCGTCAGCGGACGCGATAAGTCTAAATTATCGCGGTCGTATGAACTGTGTAATGCGTTCATGTAACATATTATATACAACGGACGGTGTAAATACCACCATATAACAGTTACCTATGGTAGGTATATAATAACATAATGGTATTTATGTCTGGCGGGCTCGTCGCCGGATTTCGATTTAAACATACAACATAACATTATGTTAGGATATAGGCGAATATGGTGCTTKTGCATCTTACGAAATAGACTGTCCAAGAGGTGCAGGAAACGTTTTTAAACGATTTACCACTCCCGATCCATTATCAGACGAAAAACAACTTTTTTCTACAATTTTGAACTTTTAATGGAATATGGTAATATACTATTTAGAAGTTCAAAAGTTGATGAACCTTAATTTACAAACATAGCTTTGCAGATAATAGAGGTAAACTGGTAACACCTTGGAACTACATGTCTGTATATAGTATCTACAGTTCATGAGTGAAACTGACATCATCAGAAGAACAATGTTGCATTGGCAACATACTAAGTGAAAACAATTATGTGACATAAATATAAAGATCATATAAGTTCCCATTCCTGGTATAAAAACATTAAAAACTGTACCTTTAATAATCTTTTTTTTACATTCAGCGGATGAACGTATCCCACCTCTTGATAGTATAGTATGTATAGTGGTGTATATAACTTTATAACGTACATACCTAAATCAAAATCAGCTCATCGTCTTGTAGGCCCATTTAATGATGATGCTGACCTCACCGTCGTCATGCAAAGGTGCAATTAAACGGCAATTGTTTTAATCATATTTTAGATTAAAATATTAATTATCTGCATGTATAGGTTTCTACTGCTGATATAACTTTAGCCACGCCCCCCCCCCAAAAAAAAATGTTCCTAAGATGCGCTTATATTATGTCACCATGTCTGATGAAGTAGACATTTGCATCCGACTGTTGCGATCGTAAAATTGTTCATTCATTTTAGAGTCTGGTGCATAGATCGAATAAATGGGAGATCACGTCACTGGCAGATCATTGTTTCGGTCTTTCGGATTTTAACAGATTGTCTGCGTGACTGCTGTTTCGATAGATTTTTCCACCCAGCACTGCACATTATATAATATTATAGTGACAATTTATATCAGCTATCAATGAACATTTTTTCAGGTCATCGTGTTACTGTATGATATTTTCATTTTTATAATTTTTTTTCCAAAATGATTAGGTATATGCGTTATATTAATCCGCGCGTTTATAAATATTTATAAATAGACGGCTGATATGCTAGTATGCTATATATTCTACCCTTCATTGCGGCTGCGAACTTCGACGGGTGTACTCGTTTATATTCATATATTATAGTATAGATATTTAGTTATACAGAGAAATAGAAAATAATCATTTATTATTGTAGGATTTTTTTTATGTATAGCAGAATACATTTTTCCGTTCCAGATCTTTGCGGGCGGAGACAATATACTCATGTAGACTCATATATACATATTATATATAATTAACTACGACGATATATATTGTAATATTATAATTGTAGGCGTAATTATCTATTTCGTATACATATTATGCCTATATAGGTACAATTTCAATTCATGACGCGAGCATGTGTCTAGGTATTTTATGCGTTTCACATACCTTGACCGTCTTACATGTTTCACCACTTTATTTTTTTTTACTCTTCAGAGCATAATTATTATAAGCTTCGTGTGTGTAGCCCTCCCATCTCCCCCCCCCCTTGTTCGTTGTAGTAGTGCAACTACTATAACTAAAGTCAACAATCTTATAATATTCCGTATTGGCTCTGTCAAAATTATAATGATGTACAATATACATACGATACTATACGATAGTAATAATTATTCGGATGCACTATAATCATTTCGGTCGTCGCGAAAAACTAATCCCTTGGCGTATAGTTTGGMTATATTATATTGAATAGACTGCAGAGACGACTTAGGTTAACTGTATATTTTATAATTTTGCTATATTCTTTGCATTGGTCCTATATAATATAAAAGGTATAATACGCATTATATAATAGTTTAATGTCGTTAAAGTCTACAGAATATTCATATTTGTTGTACCTATATATAGTTATTATCAACAAAGTTTTCTAATTCAGCAGCAATAATCGTATTTAAATCTCTTAATGAAATGTTTTAAAAGATTTTAACGAATTTAATAATCTTGTAAACAAAAATAGGAGAACTCATTTGTATAATATTATAYCTATACATCATAAGGTATATTGTACGTGTACATTGTGCATATTATGTTAATATAACAGCATTGTGTACGTTCACATCATCGTGTATGTGTAAAAAAATATTTATGAATTTAATATAATTTAAAGATCCATAACTACGGACTATTACCAACAAATTACAATGCGTTTAAAACAAGCATCGTGGGGTATAATTAATTTGAAAAACAATTCTAATTAACACGTGTTAAAATGCATCAGTTAATATCTCAGAATGATCAGTATTATTGTTCGTGTATATATAGGTACATAACACATGGCTCTATTTAAATTATAATTATTCATTTTTACCGGTTTAGAGGTAAATTAACTTCGAGGGAATTCTTTGAAAAGTGGAAATTGTTAATTGCCGAATATTAGGAAACGATAATAGGTACATACACATAAAATTTATCTATATGGATGTATAATATTAATGTGCTGCAGTAAATACTATTTAAGGTCTTTAAATGTTTTATCGTTAACAGTAATTGTTCCTATATCTTTATTGTTATTTTTATGTTTAGACATCATATTATAAGATATCTTATAGATCGAAATTATTGGTACCTACGTATTTAAAATAAAAATTAAAAAATTAAATAACAATAAACATTTACACTTTCTATAAAGGTATAAGGTTGCAGTAATTTGCCATTCTGCATACCGACGAATAATTATGTGTTAATAGTTCGATTTAAAAATGTTGGAGAACTTATATGATAATACCTATTATATTTTCAAAAGAAAACGGACTTATATTTTAAATAATAATCCTATTATATCTATATTGATATCAATTATACATATATTCCTCAATTTATCGTGCACCTTCGAGAAGACATCATCAACATCATCGTTAGATTATATCTACAAACGCATTGGTGATTACCATAATACTTAATTGATGATTAGTTTTCTGCACACTGGTATTTTTGTAAATGTACGCACCCTCATTTAAAATTAGGTAGTTAATAAGTACCTACTAAAAATACAATAGCTAATGTGCGCGTTAATATTTTATATGGTATTTAGCATTATGCTAGTTGTTAATATGATATTATCGATTACCTATTCTTTATTCCAATGAAATTATTTAAGRAGAAAAAAGTCTTTTGCCTAGTATATAATATGTAATATAATATTTATTATAATATATTGATATATATGGATCGGTATTATTTCTAATTATTTGAACTAAATACAGTAGATATTCATATATGTATCGTTTAAGTCTTATACATATTTATATTATATTTAAATAAAAATAAAAATATTAATTATAACACAGTATTTTAACGGTAAAGAATCCATGTGATAATTAATAAATATTACATATCTTGCAGAATGAAAAATTGAATGTTTTGAATAATAATTCATTTTTGATGTCAAATATTGTGTTTATTTACAACTCAAATTATATTTGAATCAATAATGTTCTTAAGTCGTTTTGATGTTTCAGAGATGACGTTTATTTGAGTTTAACTATTTTTATAACCTTAGAGTAAAACACTGAGTACCTAATTGGTGTCATTATATTATATATTAATATATTCTCATAACTATATCCCCTCCATTTCATCCAGTGTACAGTGTTTAAGTTTGTACATTTTTAATTACTCTCATTAAACTCATTTATAATCATTGCGTATTTATAAGTATATATATATTTATATGTATAATATAACACGTTTAAATTTCTTAAATTATATATTATACTTAGCCACCTAGGTACATATATGTACATCATCTATATTCTAAATGTATTACGCTATTATTTATATAATCATTTCCCATGCCGTAATATTGTCTCATCATACAATATACTACATACCTACAGTATTTTTTTAAATATATTTTATTATCTGCAGCAGCAGCTATAGCAAGGTTATTCATTTATTCCTAAAACGTATAGGTATATATACATATAATACATATTATATTATATAATAACATTAAACTCAGTGGCGCATTTAATGTATATACGCGCCGCGGGGCAAAATAATTTTTCCACCCTCCCCCATTGGACCCATTACAAAAAACGCCAAGTGTCTGTATTGTAAAAAACTATATTCAAAGTCCAATGAAGGATGGATTAGTTGTCTAGAATGTAGGAAGTGGTCCCACAACTCTTGTGCAGGAGTTGAGAGCGACGATGAAGCAACTCATACATGTAAATATTGTTCAAAAAATAAAATAAATTAATAAAAATAA